TATCTTGCTACTTACACATTTTTTGGGTTTTGTATGCCAGCTTTTAGGGTCCTTGCACCCTCTGTGTCTGTGCCTCCCCCCACACACGCACACCTGGGTGTCAGTGTCTGAACCTTTTTCCTGGCTGCTGTTCCCTGATTTGGAGTGGTGGGGTGGGGGGTGCGGGATTTCAAGGTAAGACAAATTTTCAGATATTTTACCTTCTGTCACCTTGGAGTTCAGGAAGCAGTAGAGCCGGCCTGAAGTGGTAGAAAACCAGTCTCAGGGGTCATCACCTCTTTGTATGTGATTTTTCTCTCCTCCCCTGGGTTTCTTTGCCTGTTTCATATGCAGCATGAGAGGAAAAAATACTGTTTGTCTCTTTGAAAATTTTACACAAAAAGATGTACCGTGGAAAATCTAGTAACTCCCCCTGTCCCAATTGCCCATTGCTCTGCTCAGAAGCAGTCACTGTTAGCAGTATCTTTGAATCCTTCCAGATCTAATCTTTGCATGGAGAAACATCTGCATGTGTACTTTTCCTCTCCTTTTTACAGAAATGGTTGCATGCTGTATACACTATACCTTGCTTGCGGTATGTTACAGGGTTTTTCCCTCAGTTTGGAGAGAGTCAGATATCTTGTTTCTTCCTTCATTTATTCATTGAACAGATATTTCTTAAAGACCTGCTATGTGCCTAACATACCAATAAAGAAGTATCTTGTGAATGACAAGCAGTATCTAAACACTAGGAGACTTGTGGTCCTAACTTTCTCAGAACCATTGTAGGGGGTTGATCTGAAGTGGCTTTTATGGGACCTGTGCACCTCTCCCTGGGTACTCAGCATCCCCACTCTTACCCTGACAGCCTCCTGAGAGCCAGGTCCCAGCCTGCCATTAGCCTGAAGAGTGAACATGAGTCAGAGAGGGTGGAATTTGGCTTTGAAGAGTTAGGGGTAAAGACTCATTTCCACTAGGATTTTACAGCCGTGTTCATATCTGACTCAGAGCCCATTCTCCCCCTTAACTTCGTGTGACTCATCAGCAGACTCAGTGTTTCTTGGTCGGTGATGCTTTTAAAATAACTTACATCAAAAATTTTCTATGAAATTTTTCAAGGTTAGGAAGCTTAACCTAAAAATTTTACCTAAAAGTGACTGGTTTTTATTATCCAGTCAATTTTTTATCATCACTTCCATTAATAGAAATTACTTTTTCTGAAGAAGGCTTGCAGTATTGTGTAGAGTGTCTGTATCTCTGAGGGGTTTTCTTAACGCTGCTCCCACCCTGTCCCTGCCACAGCCCAGATGCTGCTGATAGCACGTCCTTTGATGTCCAGTTAGGAGACATTATCCTGACGGCAACAGATGGACTCTTTGACAACATGCCTGATTACATGATCCTTCAGGAGCTAAAAAAGTTAAAGGTAATTAACTCAAAGGTTAGCCCTTGGAAACAGTGGCCATTCCTGAGTGGCTGAGTTGTATTGATTCAGTTGCATTGTCCATTTGGTAGTTTTGAAAAGGGCTATTTTGTGAACTTTAGGGAAATAATAATAGTTCTAATCTTTCAAGGCAATGGAAATATTCATAATTGGAGAACTCGGGGTGGGGGGTGGAAAAGAGGCATCCCATACAGGCATATAGTAAGTAATATGGTAAAGGTAAGTCCAGATGAGGACTTTTGTTATTTTCATTTATATTCTAATGATGTTGGCTTATGGTTCCTTTTTCTCCTTTTATTCCCATAACAAACCCAGCATGTGTGATGCTAGGAAAGACAGGACATGGTTGTACCAGAGCCATACAAGGGCAGCAGGCAGCCCAGAACCTTGGTGTGATCTGAGCTGTCACTAGTCATGAAACCATTCAGACTTACCCCACACAGAGAGTAGAAGGAAGTGAAAACCAGTCTTTCCATATTCCCCTAGCTTTGTAAGAACAGGAACTCCGGAGAAAAAAAAAGTCTTTTCTCGTAGGTATCTTTACCTATGATGATTTGGGACAAGGTTCTTAAACTTTCTAAGCATTATTTTCCTTCCCTGTAAAATGGGAGGTAATGAAGATCCTGTTTTACAGGGATGTAGAGAGGATTATCTAAGACTGTGCATATGGAATCCTCAGCACCGTGCCTGGGTATTATGTTCAGTAATGGGTAGGTGCTTGCTTACCTGTAGTGGGCACTGTGCTGTGTGTGCTGACAGAGTGGTGAGCAGAAAAGACATTATCCCTGCCCTCCTGGAGCTTATACTCTAGTGGAGAAAAGCAACACGGAGAAATCAATGTAGGAGGGTAAAGGAAGAGAGAATGGAGGGGCTGCTGTTCTAGATGGATTGGTCAGGGAGAGCCCCTTTCAGGAGATGGCACTGAAGCTGAGACCTACATTATTTATATTGGAACTACTTAGAGCCACAATAGGCCTCATCTTCCCATCCCCATTTTACAGATGACTTACTGAAGCCAGTAAGGATAAAGATATGGCTCAAGATGACACTGTTAGACAGGACTCTTTCATCGTGACAGAAAATTCTAAATGTATTTTCAATAGGACAACTGTCAGCTCTTAACTAGGAGAACAAACTATAGTTGCCAGGGAGTGTTTTCCAAAGCAGGTAAACTTTTGAGATCATCCTTGCAATGCTGTGGGATTCGTGTTTTCAAGCCATCCTATTTTAGCAAGACTGCCTTAATTTCAAATGGGAAAAAGCAAAAATGAAAATTGAAATCTCAGGGTCCAAGCCACCCTAGCAAAGGACCTTCTCTGATTGGGATCTTGCCAGACAGCACTGTTGGTCTCATTTATTTTTGTCAAGATAGAATCTTTTCATGTTTCCTTAAACTAGAATAAAACTTAAATGATGGAAAACGTGGTTATGTAAATGTTACTGTCTTCAAAAATGATACTTGTGAGAAGTGTATTGGCATGCAGAAACCATGAGGCCTCTTGGTAAAAATAACACCCTCACCCTTTCATCTTAGAATCCCAGTTATGAAAGCATACAGCAGACTGCAAGGAGCATCGCTGAGCAGGCTCATGAGCTGGCCTATGACCCAAATTATATGTCACCTTTTGCACAGTTTGCATGTGACAATGGATTGAATGTGAGAGGTAAGCATTCTTCGGGAAGGTCAGGGGACTGATTGGGGACAGTATTAGTGGAATGGGAGGTGTAATTAGTGAGGTGTGAGATACGCTGGAGTGTTGGGGTGTTGGGGTGTTGGGCTAAGACTGTGTCACTGTCCTATCCCAGCCTCCAGTTGTGGCCTGTGGCTTTGAGCAAGGTCAGCAGCTCTTGACCCTGGAGGCTGAGGGTAAATGTGTGTCATCACTCTTTCCCACAGAGAATGTCCTTGGGAAGTAGACTTCATTGGCTGCACAGGCAGGCGGAACCTGAAGCCCTTTGTTGTCACCATTGCACTGCTTGGACTTGAGCCCAAAAGGCCTCTGAGCTCTGCCTGGAGGGGGCTAGACATTCCTCACAGTTTAACATTCTGCCTCTCACGTGTCTGCCACTTCACTTCTTCCTCCCTCTGGTTTTGTGGGACTCATTGACAAGTATTGCTGGCAGATTGCCACAGGAGGTTTTGAAAAGGGAAGCAAAGTTAAACTGTCCTTGATGGAAGAGTCCTCCAGTCTTCTGGGCAGTATGTAACTGGGAGCTGGCTGATAGCTCACTCTAAGAACTGGAATTACATGTTGATGGTAGCATCTCAGCCTTGGTGGAGTCAGTCTGTTTCTTGCTGTTGGACTGCTAGGACCTGTGAAGCATTTCTTAGCTCTGCAGAGTGATTATAATAGAAAAGCACATGCCAAAACTGTTTTGCAGTTTAGAGTACAAGCCTAGTCTTAGTTTCATAACATTGTCCAAATTAGGATGGTAGGTAGAAACATGTAACTTTCTCTTTAGGCAGAATTTATCTTGTCTAGTAAAGACATTATCCCCGCCCTCCTGGATCAACATACACAGAGAATGTGCTAGTACCCCTTTTAACAAAGCTCTGGTTGAAAAGGAGCAGAAAAAATCTTTTTAAAGCTTCCATTAAATTACATGTGATTTCTTGGTGTTTTTTGTTTAACTATTTCTCTTCATCAAGTTTTATGTATGTATGTGTTCTAAATTATTCCTTTTTGCTATTAGGGTGTATTGACAAACCAAGTCTGCCTGAAGCACAAGCATTTGTCTCCTAGTACTGAAGTGTATTTTCACATGAATAAGGTGTCTTTGCAGCCCCTAGAGCATTAGTTTCCTTTGGCATGGGCATGTTGTATGCTGAAAAAAAATCTGGTACTTAAGTTTCCATCTTTATTGACTTTTCTTTTTACAATATATTACTCTGTTTTCATTTTAGGTGGAAAGCCAGATGACATCACCGTCCTTCTTTCAATTGTGGCAGAGTATACAGACTGACTCATGTAGAGTCAACTCCTGCCTTTCACCGTCCCAAATTCTCCCCTGCCGTGTGCTGATCCTGCAGGCAGGACCATGTTTCTTTGTCACTGATCTCAATGGCCAGTGATGTGAGCTTTCTGCCTGTCTCTTTGAGACCCAGTTGATGTCTCTGTTGAGAACCACTACTGTCAGTCACTAGCTCGTATCTGCCAGCAGCAGTGGAAGAGAATCAAGATTTGAAGATTGACCTTCATTTCTCCTTGTCCTTTTCATGATGAGATGGAAATTTTCAAAGTCAAAATGGCCATTACATTCAAAAGTAGTTGAAGTGTTGAAAGTGAATATGTTGGTACAGCAAATTCAAAATCATATTGTGTAAAAGAGATTTTTTAAATCTAACAAATCGTATGTTACAATACATCTACTAGAAACATACATAATTCATCCAGAAAAAGTTAACGTGTACTACACAAGCATAGTCTTTGTTATGATGATTGGATGTGGCTTTACGTTTTTATTATAAACTCCAGCTTTTTTCAGGGGTTTATAATTCTGCTCTAAAACATTGCTCTGGGTTATAAAGTCTTGATCCCACGAGCTTTTTTGTTAGAAATTGGGGGAAAAAATTCATTTTAGTTCTGTGGATGCATATGTGTTGTGCTTTTTTCTAAAGATGCTTAATTGTGCTCTTTGTGACTAAAGTTTTGACTGTTGATTAGCCCAAATCATAGACTGGTTGCCTGACCTACAGGAGGGGTGAGGGAGATTCCTTACCAAATTTTTTTTTAGTGGAAATATTACTAAAACTTCTCAAAGCCTAGAAATTTAATGTTATGGCTGAAATTCCTCCCAGCTATCTGGTATGATGCCCCCACATGGGAGCTCAAAGCCCACAGGCCTAATGTGTTGAATGGACACCTGTTTGCTTTTGCTAGCCCTGCTGCCCACAGTCTCACTCTGGGACCTTTTATTGTAGCCTTGCTTTCTCTAGAGCATGCACCAAATGCAATGTGTCCGCATGGGAAGAGCACCGTGTGCAGCGGCAGCAGCACCAGCGTCCGTACGTCAAACGCCTGGCAGTGGTCCGGTATTTGCATCTGCCCTAAACAGATGTTAGGGGTTTCTGAATGGAGCTTAATAATGTTTACAGTTTCCGAATAGCCATTTTGCAGTGTATAGTTTCCTTATAAAACTACCCCACATTCAGTTTTCCCATTATCTGCAGACTCAAACTTATTTTTAAGGTTTGTGTACAAGTTGACTGCTGTAAAGATATATATTTTTGGGTCAGTTTTTCTCTTCATTAACTTGGTGGTAGAAAAATATATATACATAGAAATCCTTAAATTAAAGCCATGTTTTATATATAAGTCAGGTAACATTGGTGTATAGATGAGAATGCAATTAAACCTGGTAAGAATCTACTTGAGAACATAGAAGGTCTTTTTCTCTAAAGGAGATACTTACTTCCTGGTTTATTGCATTAAAACTTATGTTTGAGGTTACCTCAACTTGTTTTAAAAGATTTTGTTTTGTGAATTTGTACTGTATATTTGAGTAACTGTCAAGCTTTTGTTTTATTTAAAATTGTTTAACATGTACCATGTACATGTCATTACTATATTTCAATGCATCATGCTTGTAACAGGCATTTCATTTATAATAAGAATGAGTTATTCATTTGTAAGCCGTTCAGTAATTTATCTACTATTCCTAAATTGGCATAATGTTAGGTATCTATTTTGAATCACCTTTAATTACATGTCAGAATGCCTTAATACCCTAACTTGACAAAACAGAATTTTTTGGTAGAGGATAATGGGGGGAGGGGGGATGGAGGGAGACTTGGTTTAAATAATGAGAAGTTGTTGTGCAATGATAGAACACAGAAAGCGTGAATGGCAAGTGGCGGGGTATTTATTTTGCACAAATTGTTTGCAGTCTCTGTGTATTTAAAAAGTAAAGAAAGTTGCATCCAGAAGGGTTTTGTTGGGAGAAATACATTTGTACTTGGGCTGACAACTTCAGTTCTTTAGTTTGGGTTTTTAATTTTTTCTGGTCAGAGGTACATAGCCTTATGATCTGGATATATTTTGCATTAATTTTCCAATGCCTGCACTTAATTCCTAGGAAGAGCAGTGCTGGTCAAGTGAGGTGTTCTCTGCTCTCATTTAACCCGTCAAACACAATCGTTGTAGAGCTGGGTTGGTGGTTATACACAGCTCATTTAACCAACTTCTTATTTGAGATGGTTGTTAGATATTGACAGTGTGTTCCAGTGATGTTGAAAATAATGGAACAAGAATTAAGTTTCAGTGGAATTGGCTTTGGACCTGGCCTATAGGTTAGTGATGTAAAATATTTTCTCCTCCACCCTGTCCGTTTTGTGTTATGCACTTAATTTTGTGACTACTAGGGTCGGCTGGAGTGCTACTTACCGAGCAACTCCCCTCCCTCGCAGTGGTCAGAGGCTGTACTGGACCCACACTAGAATTCCAGGTCACGGGACCCCAGCCTCTGGGGGTGTGACTGTGCTATATACCACTTGGTGGGTCTGATGCTGAATATGGTGTGTGTGCTCATTATATTTTAAATGAAACAGTATAAATACACACACACACATTTGCCTCGTGTAATAGACTTTTATAACAAAAGAGAACATTTGGATTTCTAATTTACATGCAGCAAATTATTTATCCCTCTCTGGATGCACCAAAGACCAGTAAAGTTTATAGCTTTTCCATCTATATTTATAAAGCAATACTGTATTATAAAAATCAATATTTTTATCACATGCTTGAAATTTTTATTTTGTTCTGTTTTAAAATGTGCACTCTAAACATATCAAAACCTTATTTCTTCCTATGAACTTAAGCTGCCTGCGCACAAAATTTTTTTTTACTGAATGGAGATGCAGTAGAGTCCATAGGCTCTTGAAAACTGAAATAAGAAATGAAGGGAAAAAACAAGTTAATCGTCCTTGAATTACTGTACTGGCTCAGCATGATTGATGGGTACTAAGTCACAAAAGAATCCATTCCAGGTGTGCATGTCTAGGGGTTGGGCTATGTCTTGATTAGAAACTAGATTTCAGGCTTCTTTGCATGCTAGGAGAGAGTTTCCTGTCAGCTGTTTTTGTTCTGGATAGAAGAGTAGCCCAGAGATGGAAGTCACCTTCAATATCACCAACCCACCACACCAAGTAACAGGACAGGTATTGTGGGAGTTTGCTGGATCAGTTTTGATGTTTTTGGAGGTAGTAAACGAGATTGGCTAGGACTGTAAATGTTTGTACTTTGGGATGAGTTCATGGTTGTCACCTTATACCAGCTATCTTTGGTAGAAGCTACAGCATCCAGTTTCCCTGGAAACTGTATCACATTTCTGCATTTAACAAATTTTACAATATCAAAAAACAATTTGCATATAAAACAAAACAGTGAGCAAAAAGTATTTGGATTCTATTTGTAAAAATAAACACACAATAAATTCAATCCTTTGCAAAATTGAACCTCTCTTAAAAATAGTGTCCATGTCAAAATTGTAACTGTTAGCAGGTAGTTTGTGTCAAAGATGGCTGAATAATGAAGCAAATTGGAATCTGTATATACTAATAAGCTGCTTTTTTCTGTTGAGACTATCATTATTTGTCCTACCCAAGAGGCAATTACATGATTGGGTGTCTGAAATATAACTTATGCAGGAATAGTTCTGTAAATACATTTAAATAAACTGTAAAGATATTTAATAAATATAGTATTTATACTAATCTGTGGATTCCTTTTAATTGAAATACTCACTGCCATCGAGTCATTTCCCACTCATAGCAACCCCTTCTCCAGGGGTTTCCAGGGTGGTATCTCTACGGAAGTAGATTGCCCAGTCTACTGGGCTGGTGGCTGGTGGGTTTGAACCATTAGTCTTCTGGTTAGCAGTCACTTAGGCACTATGCCACCAGAGCTCCCTTAATTGAAATAGTAGCTGAAAATAGAGTATCATCAAACAACACCTCACCCATTGACATTGAGTTTGTTGGTCTCCTTCAAGTCCCCATTTCTAAGCCTCTTAGTAACTTCACCTGCTTCAAAAATCCATCATGGTTGGACTCATTGAAACAACTTTGTAGCTTCCAAATGTATGAGTGAGCCACAGGAAAACCAGGTGTCTTTTTCAATTGAGCACTTTGTATCCAGATTCTGAAATTCAAATTGTATGAATTTTTAACAGTTTAACCATCTTTTACAGACCAGCACAGCACCCAGGCTCATTCTGATGCCTTCACTCCCTCAATCCACCTACCTCTATTATGATGAGTGAACCAGGAAGTTCAGCAAAGAGACCTACAGTTTCTGTCATGTATAAAGTTCTCTGTGTAGTCATCTTCATTTTGTTAAGAATACTAGAATTTCGATGTTAATCACCAGTGTAAGCAAAAGATACCGGCCTACAGTGTGAAAGGACTAAGCCAATTACGTGGGCATTGCCAGTTTCCACAAAAAGCTTGGTGAAAGCCCATTTTCATTCACTGAGGAACATCTTGGTATGAACTTGAGTTTTTATTAGGTTATTGTGGGTAGGTATGACTCATTACTAAGCTACAAGAGCCAGATTGGTTCTGGTTTCAGTTAGAACTCTGTTCACAGTTCTAGAAGCATACTAATCCACTCAGCCTATGAATGTCTCACCAAGTCTAAAGCACAATTGCTTGCTAGTTACCATTTCTTTGTGATTGGAGGGTTTCAAAGACTTAACAATAAGACATTACTGAAGTCTAGTTTGTTAGGTTATAATTGACTGTAAACAGGTTTGGGGGAGGGAGAGGCATACACTATAAGGTATTACGTAACTGTGTCTTTGTGCCAGATTTTTTAGTTTGTTTTTACAGGTAAGAAGCTAATTCTTAAAGGGGCAAAGAACAGACACTTATCTTCCACCTTGTTCCATTCTCAACGCAGGCTCTCTTGCATGTAAAGGTTGCTGCTCTATGTTAGATAATAAGACAAAAATGTTTGGCATCATTTCCCTTGTTTTCTGCATCACACTGAAAACAAAAGTCAAATCTGAAAATGAGTAATTTAAGACTATGAAATAGAATTTTACAATCTATAGGAAGACTCCAAAGTGAGAGGGGAGGCTATATATTTTTATTTTTGACTTACTCTCCCAGGGCTATTTTATCTAAAAATCTTACAAAATATAAGCAAGCAGCAATGGACAAAAAAAAGTCACGGCATTACATGAGAAAAGGCTGCATAGCTTGTTACTATTTCTGAAAGCACTGAAGCTCACATTTGCACTCAACTACAAAACATCTGTTTATGAAGGCACAGTGATGAATCTGAAACATGGCTGAACCGGTAGGCCATTATGCTGAGTGAAATCAGTCAGTCACAAAAGGACAAATATTGTATGAGAACACAATTTGAAATGTCAAGAAAAGAGTTTCCAAAAAAAAGAAATATTCTTTGATGGTTACCAGAGGCAAGTGGGGTTGGGAGGGTAAACCACTAACTAGCAGGTAGACACATACCCACTAGGGTAAAGGGTTTAAAAAAAAAAAAAAAAAAGTTCATCTGAAAAGCTAGCAGCAACATAAAAGAGTTTTAAAAAAACACCTAAAAGTATACCTACTAAATCACAAAATTCTGTTTGCAGCTATACCCATGCACTCCAAATGTCTGCTGACGAAAAATTAAATACCTTCATAAAGCTGACCAGATGTGAAAAGCTTTAGTGTGAGCCTGCGATGAACTGAAGGTTTTTCCCTGTGCAGAAAACCCAGGAGCCTCCCAAGTAGCATCATGGATTTAAGGTAAATTACCTATGCTTGAAAAACAGTTATTTTCAGATAAGGCTGTTGTGTAAGATGATGCCATTTAGAAGAACAGAAGCCCATGCTCCATTTTGTCTTGGAAGACAGTATGTACTAAATGTAAAAAGGTATTTGAACTATAAGTGAGCTCGTCAACAGTCTGGGAGCCAACTAGGTAGCCGTGATTAAATATTGGAAAGTGGAGAAACTGCCATTATTTATGTCCTCTTGACAGTTATTTGCCAGACTATCACAGGCTGGTTGATGTGTTCTTACTGATCAGAAGAAACTGCTCCAAAGAACATGCAAGAAAATGAGAGGAAAAAAAGTAATTGTACTGAGTATTCCAAAGTGAGAGTTAAACAAAAGACCACACCAGGTGCCACAGAATTGATTCCAACTCAGGATAACTCCATGTGTGTCAGAGAAGAACTCTGCTCCATAGGGTTTTAATGGCTTATTTTTCAGAAAAGTATTACCATGCTTTTCTTCTAGGAGCCTCTGGGTAGACTTGAACTGCCAACCTTTTTGCTAGCAGCCAAGAGGTAACCCAGGGACTCCAAGTGAAAGTTGGTGCTCATTAAGTGCCCCTGTCTCTCTTGGTGATGGTCTCCCTGTCTTTGTTGCTAACGGTTCATGAACACATAGAACCTTCATTACTGGATCAACACATCCTAAAAAACAGATAAACCCCAACTTCAAAGGCACAAGGCAGACCTTTCAGTTTGGGATCAGTGATCGGCTTCTGCCTCCTGTCCCTGAGCTGTCAAAATGTCACAGGGCGTGGTGGGAGATAAGACAAAGGAGGCTTCTGGAAACCATCCTGAGTGGACATCTGCTAGAAGCTCCAGAAAGGAAAGTAGCTCTGCTGACACCTTGATTTTAGCTCAAAGTGTCCCATTTTGGGTCTCTGACCCCAGAACTGTTAGTGGCTAAGTTTGAGGTGATTTGTTACAGCAGCAGTAGGAAGCTAATACACTGACCTTAATTAATAATACTTAGAGGCATAGTCTCAATTGGCTCTGAAAAGTCTAGCCTTACCAAGGTCAAGGTCTTAAGGCTGGAAGTAACCTAAAATAGTATTTGTGTCTGTTGAATGTATATTGTCGTATGCAGGTGGCCTTAATAATGTTTATGGTACTCCTTTAGACTAGAAGTCATGATGGCACAGTGGTTAAGTACTTGGCTGCTAACCAAAAGGTTGGCAGGTCAAACCTATAAACTTCTCGTTGGGAAAAACATGTGGCAGTCTGCTTCCATAAAGATTGGAAACCCTATGGGGCAGTTCTGCTCTGTTATAGGACAGTGGCAGTGATGGCAGTGGAGTATGGAACACTCAGGTTTACTTTGGTCTTTGATATCTGCCCTGCCTTTGTTATTAGCTTAGGGTAAATGCTACCTTCCCTTATTCCCACCTTCTCTTCAGCCTTTAAATCTTGCATGGCTGGATGGTCAAGGCCTTTCCTAGTGTCTAATAGTCTTCTAATGGAAAAAACTAATGAACATCCACGCGGTTGGGAATTAGCCTCTGCTTGAATAATTTCTTTTAGAAAGATCAGCACAAGGCCAGTCACTCTTAGGCAGAGGTTAAAGATGTCCCAAATGTCCAAGTTTTCCACACTGCTGTGCCATTCCATCATTTCTGACATCAACTCCTCTTCCTCCCCTCAGTAATCCCTCTCCTGTCTTAGGGTTCCTTATTTCGCTGTAACGTCGCACAGAACTCACAAACTCTCAAGGAAATAGCTCACGTGGTGGTGGAGGCGGCTGGCAAGCTGGCAAGTTTCAGGTCTGTGAGTAGGTCTGGAGGAGTCTCCCAACTTACCTGGTTACAGGGGTTGGTGAACCCAGATCGGCTGCTGTTTCAAGCCCAGGGGTGAGATGACGACAAACCAAACGCAGGACCCAAGCAAGAGCCTCAACTTTCCCAGAACATATATACCCTCAAGGAGCTAAGAGTGGAGACTTGAGTCACACCCTTCAGCAAGGTGGGATTCAAGATGCACCCCACTCTAAACAGGCACAGAGACTAGGATTTACAATACATCACAAAATGAAGGAAGATGGCTAGACGGGCCATATTAAGCGGTTCATTTCACTGTAGCCTTAAATCCAGTATGAAATGGGTAAAAAAATAAATTATTATATAACCTTTGTTTTATAATCCATGTATTTGCCCCATTTCAGTGGCCCTGAGAGCTGTTTTTAACTTTTTTTTTCTTTAATTGCAATTTGGGTGAAAGTTTACAGGGCAAATTGGTTTTCCATTCAACAGTCTTTGTACATTTTGTTCTGTGACATTCACTGCAATCCCCACAACCTAACAGCACTCTTCCTATTTTCTCCCTGAGTTTACTATATCCCCCCGTCCTCCTTTCCTGTCCCTTCCTGCTTCCTCAGCTTTATCCCTGGGCAAATACTTCTCTTTTGATCTTGTATGGTTGATTCTTCCAATGAGTGTACACCTTCTTAGCGCTGTTCACCTTATAGGCCTGTCGTTTGGCTGAATATCAATCCATGGGGGTGATGTTTATAACTTCTTGTTTAGACATCATGGAAAACTCATAATGGACAAAGCCACTGGTGGTCATTGTGTAGAACACAGTAATACACAGTAATCAGATTTAGTTCTGAAAAATCCCTTTCCCCAAAATTTATTTTTGACACATTACTGATACCACTATAAGTATTTCTAAATCTTTCTTTGGGTGTCCAGACCAGAGTTGGAATTCTTGTGCCCAGCAATGGCTATGCATTTGGAATCCAGAGATGAGGAAGATTCAGCCTGCCCTGAATGAACTCAGTCTATGTAATAAGAGTTACTTTGAACAGGATAAACAAAGTGCCTTGAGTAGAATGAGAAGCTTCAGAAGCCTTGAAGGGTGAGTAGGAGAGGATGCAAACTGGTACAGCACTTCTGGAGAGCAACTTGATGATCCCTAAAAAGCCTTACATATCCACTGACCAAGGAGCTCTGGTGGCACAGTGGGTAAGCAGTCTGCTGACAAAAAGGTGGGTGACAAAAAGTGAAAACAGCCACTCTGCAGGAGAGAGATGAGGCAGTCTGATTCCGTAAAGATGTATAGCCTTGGAAACAGTAGGGGCAGTTCTACTCTGTCCTCTAGGGGTGCCATGAGTCAGAATTGACTCGATGGTAGTGGTTATCCCCTGACCTGATCCAGCAATCCCACCTTTAAAAATTTACTTTAAAGAGACTACCTGTATAGAAGGTTATTTAGTGCAGCATTGTTTGTATTTGCAGAATACTGGGCAAAATTCTAAATGCCTGTATGTAGGAAAATGGCTGAGTTAACTATGGCACGTTTACATGTGAAGAATTATGCAGCTGTTAAAAAAAAAAAAGAGGAGCTGATCTGGAGTGATTTCTAGTATGTACTATTAAGTGCAAAAAGGAAAGCACAAAATAGTAATGTAAGGAAGATGGAATGTGGGGCGTGTAACACCAAACCAAAACTGAACTCACTGCCGTCAAGTCGGATCCGACTCACAGCAACCCCTCCTTGGGTTTCCGAGGCAGTATCACTATGGAAATAGATTGCCCAACCTTCCTTCCGAGGAGTGGCTGGTGGGTGTGAACTGCCAGCCTTCTGGTTAGCAGTCAAGTGTCTTAACACTTAAAGCACTGAACTAAATAAGAAGCAGATTTTACCATCCAAATTCTGTCCTCAAAGCCTCCATGCTGCATAAGGTGATGACTTTTAAAAGCATCATTTTTCCTTTCAAATTTCTAACTAACTTTTATTTCCCAACCAATAATAATAGCAACGGCAAAACAAGCTTGAATAAAATAATCTAAACATATAAAAGTGGTACTGTTATAACTTGAGGTACTTTGGTTTCTAATAAATAAGATTTATCTTCAGTGCAATACAGTTCGTAAGGTTGAACCCCAATGGATTTGTGAAGCTGATCATTCATCTAGTAAAATGTTGGTAGTACAATCAAATGTAATTAATTAGGACACCACTGCAAAGGAACCTGTGATGACTCTTGGAATGAAGTCTACATTTGTATTACTACAAATAAATGATTTCCCAATCAAATCTGAAAAATAAAATCAGAAGAAGGAAACTTATTTTAGGAAACATCATTTAAATGACTTTAGCATGTTACTTGCATTCAAAGATTAGGAGACACTATAAGCAGTCATAATTTACTGTCGTGTCCTAATACTCTAGGAATAAGACTTCCCTCCATTTCAGACAGGCTTCACCCCACCTCTATCAAAAACTAAGATGATTCATTTTGCAGATTATCGGAAGTGGGCTGCAGTAGGGGGACACATGATGCGAATTCCTGACTAAGACGTAGCCCTGTCTCAACATTTGCCTTTGACCTTCCTCAGGACCCAGGCGCCTCCTCCATGCTGCTGACGCAGCTTTCTGGAACTTCACTGCCTCCATCTGCTCTTTCCGTTGCAAGGCCGCTGCACGTTTCTAATCCAGAGGTGTCTGTGGGACTCCCTTGAGGGTGGAGCTTTCTGGGGGCTGCTTGTCTGGAGATGCACTCGGGGACCTTGTTCGTCACATTTTTACCAGCCTTTGAATTTGACCGGATCAGGTCCTCCCTGAGGGATGAACAGAGATGAAACGAATGGACTATTTCCTTTGAAATACATTTTTAATCTAACAAATGGATCAGTGTGAGATGACAGTGGTGGCCCTGGTTTGGAGAAGGGATTGCAATAACATGGAACAAACTGTTGAAAGCTGAGATTCATGCATGCAATCGTGTAAATATTCTCAACAGATTCAGATTTTTCAGTAAAGCAACCCCAATGTGCATGACACGCCTTATCATAAGGTAACGGCCATTTTAGAAAAACAGTTAACTAATTACCATGCATCATCTCTATGATACAGTGTTGTGCAGTCATTAAAAATCTTGTTCTCAACCATAGTCTGATATTGGGACATGCTCATAATACCGCATTTTTTTTGGGGGGGTGGCGTAAAAAAATTACATACACTGTTGTTGCAGCATTCATTATTCACATAGCCAAAAGGGACAAACAACCCAAGTACAGATGAATGGTAAACAAAATGGGCCTATCCATACAACTGAATATCATTCAGCTATCATTAAAATTAGTGTTGAGCCTGAAAACAAAAAACAAAACTATGCTGTATGATCCCAATTTTGTTTTAAAATATAAATACAAGTCTGAAAGAAAATCCAGTGAATCAAAATGTTAACAGTGGTTATCTATGGGTGGTGCAATTCTGGGTGACTTTTATTTTCTTTGTTCTTTTCTGTATTTTCTACACATTGCCCACAGTACCTGTGTATGACTTTTACAATGAAGCCTCCCCCAAAATAGTTAAGAAACATAAAAGAAAAAAAAAATGTCTGTCCTTATGTACTAGAAAAAGAGTCTGAGGTAGTGAATTACAGGTTTTCTTGTGAACCTTCACATGGTTATCACTTTTGAAAAACAATAATTACAATTTGGAAATGTTAAATTTTGGGCAGAAGAGAAAAGGCAAATCAGTGACTGTTCTATGCCACTTAGGTCTTATTATAGCTTTTCCTGAGTCAGTCAAATTTCAGATCTTCTGGAGACTTCCCATAAGATGGTAGAATAGGCAGACAAGTTCCACAGACCCTCTTCAACAAAGAAAAAAGAAACCAGTTGACAGAGATACAGAAGATAATCCTGGAGCCCTGAGCTTTGAAAGGAACTATACAGAAGTGGTGCCTAAGGCACTTGACTGCTAACCAGAAGAAGCCTGGCGGTTCAAATTCACCAGCCGCTCCTCGGAAGGAAGGCTGGCAATCTACTTCCGTAGTGATACCACCTTGGAAACCCAAGGAGGGGTCACTATGAGTCATATCCAGCTCAGTGGCACATAACAACATACAGAAGTACATTAGGCACCAACTAGTGAAAAAACCTGAACAAAAACAGTGAGTACAAGTCTGCAAAACACCGCATAACGTGGATGAACTTGGAGGACATTATGCTGAGCGAAATAAGTCAGTCACAAAAGGACAAATATTGTATTAGTCCGTTATTG